TATATATATATATATATATATATATATATATATATATATATATATATATATATATATATAAGTATATATATATATATATATATATATTTATATATATATACATGAGAATCACACGGCGGAGCAGCGAAGCACATAGCACCACTGTGTCATTTTTCGCAGGCTAGTTTAGATTGAAGACGATATGTCCACCCTTGAATTGCCACCGTCTGATATGAAGTTTTCAGTACGGCTGAAAAGCTGTAAAACGAATTACAATAGATCCAACTACCACTGACTTCGCGATATAGATTGGACTTTAAACTCAAACCCAAGCTTGCCACCCAGCAAACATGATGCTAAGCAACTTGGGATCTTGCGCCTCCTGCACCACAAGTAAAAATCGAAAAGTTTAAAATAAAATCAATTCTTAGCATCTGCTGGGAAATGATCATCTATTCACGCTACTACCAATTGGTGAACATTAGTGATGATAAACCCTACTAGCAAGATTTCTCGTCTCTGGATATGCGAATATTTTAAAAGGCATTGAAATAACGTGATTTTTACGTGTTCGGCAAATCAAGCAGGTGTCAAACCCTGCACGGTCTACATCGCAAAATAGACGATGCTTAATCTCCTCATTGCGGAGCACGTACAGCTATGAGGTTATAACTTATCATGAACACAAATCGTAGAAAAAAAACATCGGCATCAACAGCGAAGCTCACAGAGAACAAGTAGCTTACACCCTTGACACCAAACACTTCGTGCTTAAGAGAAAAATGAAACCAAGCTCGAGTTTGCTACCTGAAAATAATTTCACAATAGCCAGACATTGTACAATCGCCCATCAAGAATCATGCCGCGTACGAGGTTAAATGTAGATTTCGATTTACAGCAAAATATAGAAGAAAAAAACACCTCACCTTAATAAGGTGATCGACTTGACCTCGTATAGTGTAAGAAATACCCTGCTCCCTTCCGCTCATTTTATCCTGCAGGTTGAATATGAATTTATATAGTCGTCAGCTACGCACTAGCGGTTAATATATGATGTTAAAGCTCCATTCTAGGATCAGAACGAAAAAACTAAAAGAAATTGAGCTTAGATCGATTTCTAGCATCTGCAAACTTCAATGAGCAGCACGTCAGCCGCCTCGCGTACGTTCTGATTCAATGTCGCTTTTACAATCGCGCACGATGATATGGCGCCAACGTTCTGCTAGATAGATGAAATGTACAGAATAGTATAACAGATAGAGACTCGCACAAGGAAGGAGTGACAAAAAAAAAGCCGAAGTATAGGACACGTCCCATGGTTCTGATTAGCCTTTTACAAGGATCTTTAACTAAGACGTATTTATCAGCACTAGATAATACAGACGAACTCATTCGAAATATACAGCACCTTTGGCATCCCAAATGGCTACCGCGGTCGTGTAAATGAGTAGCAGAATCGAGTAGTGTATAATAGCACCTAATGGGCGTTCAAAAATAGAATATTCATAGCCATCGCCGAATATGAGCATATTGCCTACCTTCAAACGAAGTAGTATTCGATGTCCTTTGGTAGTATTCCGGGGTTCTTCGCCCTGTTTAGACTTGATCGATTTGGCACTGGGAGCAACCACAGCGGACTCTTGCGTATTCGATCTTTGCATATTCATAGCCTGTAGCGAAGTGTGGCATTTGATTTCAATTAGCTGCAAGTGCTAATATGTGATAGCCTGAAAACTGGTAATCAGACAAAATCGTTAACTTCGATACATTGGCCACAATCATCTCGGGTATTTGAAAGTAGGAGAATGGGAGATTTCAGATCTTAGAGTAAAAAAATTGTGCTACTAGTGTCTGCCTCAAGTTACAATTCTGGACATTTGCTATAACAATAAAATTCCACTCCGACTACTGGTATATACGAGCATACTGGAGAATGATGACTTGATGCATACCTTGGTCGTATCCAAAGACCAAGTGTGTAGCGGATCGTGTATGAATACATCCAAAATGGTCAACAGGAGCGCCTGGTTTTCGCGAATTACGCCCATCACATGCTCGCAGCAGCGTCGGAACACGCCCTCGACACCTTGAATGCCCATCCCGTCTATTAAGTCTCTCGTGAGTCTGAACGGAACAAGTTCAGGCATAGGCAATTGTTTGCCTTGCTCAAAGCCGATCCCCAGATCTATGTGTATCAGTTGAGCCGTCTGCGTGACATATTTGAGGGGTTTGTTAATATAAAAATATGTTTCAGTGATGTGATCTGCATCGATGGAAAAATAGCACCAAACACCCTGCAGGTCCACCGGACACGTTAGTAGATTATCAACTAACGAAATCAATTTTAGCTTCGCCATTGTATAAATATCTCCCGTGCAGCCTTTCAAAGCAAGCACCCTGCTAATATGGCGGAGTGTCCCAGCAACATACAAAGAGAAAGTGCAAGAAAAGTCGGTACTCTCCATAGTTTCAAGGAATGGGGGCGAACTAAGCGCAACAACGCATGGCGTGAACTACGAGAAAATACAAGAACATTGAACAGCTTTTAATTTGAGACTACGATGACGGATACTGATTTACCACATACGCACTACACGTTATTATATATAACATTTGAATATCTGTTGATTACTGCAAGTCATTGTGAACATTTTATAACATAAATTAAAGTACTGCCTCATTGTGTACACACGTGGCACAGTCGACATTTTGCACATTATTGTACGTAGATTCCACCTGGCGTCATCACAGAATATTTATGTAGACCATACACGAAACTCATGTATCACTCAATAGAACACCATCATTATGAAAAACCAGCAACGTCCAAGCAAGATAAGGGTATACATTTAGATCCCTTATCCTTCTCAACATACCTTCAGATCTATGAGGATGTTGCTCGGATGCCTATCGCCCAGACCTAGAATGTAACCAATTATCGAGCTAGCGGCTATACTGCGCGTGTACTGCAGTCGCTTATCAAACCAGTCCATCGGGTCCGGGAATTTCTCAAGGAAGAAACACCGGAACACTGGATGAAAGTTCTTACAGCACTCTTCAAACGTGTTTAGCTTGATGCGGTCGTCGCTGTCAGACACCTTAGACATCTTTTCGCGCACCGATCGTGTGTGCCAATCCTGTGGTCGTACACGTTGATGCGCACCTATGGGTAAAAATCATATAATCGAATTGAGAATAGGCATGTAGCGCGTAATTTTCAACCAGATACAACTTATGGGTACATGTACAATTCATACGGCCCGTTTGAGAACAGATATGCAACATTGCTTGTACAATCACATACAATCGCAGTGCGTAGGTGTGTGGGTGTGCTTGGGGAGGGGGTTGAATGTGGCTTCGCAACACGGTAGACCTTCACCATTACCTTTTATCCACCAAGCTTCTATCGGTCTTCTGGATACCCGGTTCAGGCATCTCATACTGTCACGCTAGGCGCAATTTACAGCACTAATACAGTATCAGGCCTTCATATGAAAATTTTCGGGTCGAGTGCTTCGGTTACAACAAACAGGCACACTTCACAATACTTTAGAATATTCAAATCGCAAAGGAACGAATATGCACGATCCATTTCGTAAGGCCGAGAGTACGAATGCGTACGCCCATAATCAACAAAAATATCAAGTAACCACTGGCGGTCCGGAGCACTTGCCATTACAACGTACCGTTGTTAGCGTTCCGGCCAGATCCAACCAAGTATTCACTCAGTGGTGTAGTCTGCATCGCCCATTCAAGAACGCCTGTTTGCGGTGACAGCGGAACCACGTTGTACGTTCGCACAATCAGATTGCGCTTCTTAGTATCGCTATTTTTCACCATAAGTTTGTTCACCATGCGAAAGACTTGTTGCATAACTGCATCCTGCGAGTGCATGACAGAATATATGGATTTAATTTACAAACAGTGACCACCATTTGAGCCACATACAGGATGCAAAATCAACTTAAACGGTATAGGTTTTGCAGTGGCGTACACTATCAAGACATGCAGCGTTACAAACAAAAACAAGCTCTTGAAGCACACATATACTAGAACCGTGATATAATCGCTGGACTATTCGCCGGCATAGCACTCCAGAATACAATAGCGAACCATGTCACAGTGGGCAGCATCGGAAGTTAAATTGTTTCCATACGTTCAAAACATTCATATGACTATTCACAAGTGTACTTGTATAGTCGCACGCAGCTTATATGTAAACTCCCGTTCACACTCAAAGATATCATGATAGTATAGACAAGACTATTGCAGAAATGATATGTACCTGTCTAAGATCATCAAGATCCTTCACTAACTGTTTGTACTTCACACCGTCACTGCCCAGGCAATCGATTTGCTTTGGCTTGTGCAAGCCCCCAACGAGGTTGTATCGTTTGGAAAAACTGTGAATACGAATTATATCCTTGTACACAGCCATGGGGTCGACTGGCGGTGGGCAAGTAGTGATGGGTATCCTCAATTGCTGTATGTGCATGTTCGAAGCGTGTCGATCAATTGACTGGCATTCAATCAAACAGTCTTACAAAAACAACGGTGTAGATAAAACTACGAAAAAAATACAATAAGCCCGGCGCTAGTAGCGTGATAAAGACATGACAGCAGTATTGATTTAGCTATACTAGTATCGTTCATTCGGTTTGGACCACCAATGTAGGTATCTGAATGAACAACTGCACGACACTGTGAAAAATAGCATAGGTGTCCATCCTATTCAATAATGCCCAATGCAAACAAACATGTCGACAAGAGAGTCAGGCGAATATAGCGACAGCGGATCAGGCACTGACAACAAATAGGACGCACGCACGAACTAACAGTGGTTATACATGATCATATTATATTAATAAGTGTTCTCATGCGTTATTGCTACAGCCAGTAATTCACAAACTCAGAATCGAAAATGGCGTCATATTAACGAGTGAGCGTTTGAGCGAACATACCTTCACTTGCATGATGGGATCGTTTTCTGACAAAGTGTCGAAGCCCATTGTTGTTGCCTGAATGGAATAGGGAAGAAAATCCCTGTCTTCTGAATAAACGTCGCTCATTTTCGAAAACCAATTAGAACAGTTAACAGTTCGTAAGCATACTATTGAACAGATAGCATACGAGACTATGGATAGCATTTATACCGATTTTAGAGGTATATACAGTTCGCTCCGGGCCGGCACGTGGATTTATCGTCAGTACAATCGCATCGAAAATCTATATTAACATAAACTTATATTTGTAAATGCTACACCAAAAAGTCAACTTATATTTAGTGATGCCAAGCACATTATTATAGTTGGATAAGATTTAATCTAATTAGAATAAAAGTGTCAGGTTCACCAAAACACTCACCGTCTTTGGCACGTGAACCTTAGCCAGGGCATGGTACGCGTTGCTCAGGGATAAGGTGTCCTGCACTATATGACTGATTTTGCTCTCCTTCCCAAGTTCATGCAGCATTTTCTTGGCAGCGTTTACCTAAACAGGAAGTAATGATAGAAATCGTCAGATTGAATTTGTGCGCCGACGGATCGCGCGGGTATCGGTGAACTTGTATATAGCCGGTATATACGAGACATAATATTGCACAATCAGAATATACACATGTGTACTCCAAGTTAACTGCATAATACAATACGCACACGAACAAGTGAAGTATATACTAATTTTGTGAAAGCAAGCAGGAACGATCATCTGGGAAATCAATCTAGAATCTCAAAGGTGACTACGAAACCATGACTCAAAAAAATTACACCGGCTAGGCGATAAATACAACCCAAATGAAATACCCGTGTGTCCTATGGCAGCACTACACACGTGGTCGCCAGAGCTTCTAGTGTTGTGTGACGGACTGTACTATTCTCGAAAGCAAGGTGTCGATAATCCAAAATCGAGCCGGACCCCGTATACTCTTAAACACATGAGGGTACGAGATCTCCAATTCAAAGCCGCAGATGATAAGGTATGATTATAAAGGAGCTCGTTCAATGATATACGCGGTCTATATACTTTAAAGTACAGTTGCGGTTCAAACCTTATCCATGGATGAATTCACGTCTGAATTTTTCAAAGCGTAGATGACAGTCAACCCGTGAAACGGATGTTCGGCGCATAGCTGTAAAAGTTAAGAAGTCGTGGTGTAGTAAGCTTTGAGTAGCCTACAGCAACAACTCACGTGTGCACCAGAAGACAGAAGAAAATAATTGTATACAATAAGGATGATAGTAGGCTATATATATAATTTTTTTGAATCGATTGCTAATACACAACAACGTACAACAGTCGTCGATTTACACCTAAATTTCAAACAAACAACATACTCTATATACCAGCTGATACAGAATGGATGCAAAAGCCACACTTTTGGGATTATTCAGGTCGTCACTCCAGTCTAGTCGGGCCGCCAGCTGGTAGATGAGCGGAATAAACTTGAAGGAAGGTATTTTCCGTAGATCCTTGCGCATAAGACTGGAATGAAAGGAAGAAAATACCGCAAGTTATGATCAATTTCGCATTTCGCATATCGTATAGCACACGGGAATGTGTATATGATAAATGTGGCTGATAAGAGCATTGTACGGCATATGTGCATTGTGCGCTTCGTCCTCCATGAAATTTCAGAGATCAAATATCAACATAAAAATTCCATCTGCATTGTAAATTTTCTAGCTGTTTTGCGCTCAAGTATGTTCGTTTCGCTAAACGAGCGTAAAACTGAGTTGTACCACATATTAACGTATACGACGACACATTCGTTTCATTTTGGGCCGTATACAGTGACTAAGCGCGCACATTAGTCGAGTAAAACAATTGACAACATGAAATGGTCAGACAAATCGCTAACAGTCATTCACCTGTTCGCCAACGTGTAGAGTTTCGACAGAGACAATTTATTTTGATCGATCGAAAACCAGATTGACATCAGCCTGAAAACAGCGATATCGTACTTTCCACTGATTTCGAGGCAACGCTGTGGCAATTGTGGAATGAAGCAAAATGCGACTGTCAGGGAGCTATCGCGATGTATCAGTTTTACAGCTGGTGCATCCGCACGTTGTAATATTTCGTAACATATGCTCGGTCGATGGGCTGATCAGTTGGGAAGACACCAATTGAGAGGAGTATAGCTCAAGTCAAAACGCTGCGACTTTTGTAGAGCACTTGAAGAGTGCTCAAAACCTCATATGCAACGCATCATTATGGTCTATATTGTCAGATTTCAACGGGTAGTTAATATTAGCAAATCCAAAAATAAATAAATAAATCCGAGGACACGTGGGCATGCACAGAATCGACAGACAGTTCACTGTTGACCTGAAAGCTCATTTGCAATCAGCAAATCTCTCGATGTCTCAATATCAGATCCACCTGATGGCAATCTGAGAGGATTCTTGGCTGCTTGCGGTCTTATGTGTCCCGTTGCTGACAGACATACAGAAATAATAAGGGCCACAGCTGCTTCAACCATGTATTAATTCACAAACGAACCAGAGCAAACGAATAGGGCCGAACGAAGAAGTGAAAAGCATACCATGTAATTCTGCAGGGTCACACCTAAGAAGTTGTTCAGATTTGTTTCCACCTTTTTAGCTGTACCAGCATCATAGTTCAACTACAAGGAGAAAAAAAGTGATAACTTATGGCATGAACTCTATTCGGCATTTAGGAGTAATGGTTGGGCTAAAATAGGCGATGCGTTGTGCGAGCGCAACGCTTCGCCCTTGAGAAACTTGTTATCACAAAAATGGGGATGGTGTTTACGGCCTGTATTTTGTATGCTTATACCAGAAAATCGACTTCCAACCGCACAGATAAGAAATGCATACGATGCTATCACATTGAGAGGGTATAGGTGGTACATGGTTGCACCTTGCCAACTGCGTGCATAGCAAGGGAAACTGAAAGCCAGTGACGAGGTGCAGGGTTGGGCTTCCTGTATGCACAAAGACTATATGATAAGACTGGTGAGGAATACCAGAATCCGGAGTGCCCACAACCACTGGTACGGTCTTACCTCTCTGCTTCGCAGATTCATCTCACGAGTTAATAGTACTCGTTCATCGTGTACAACATCCAGACGATTTTTGTACTCAATGTCGACGGGCTTGGTGAATTTGTGACTCCAATCCGTCTGTTCTCGTCTGTGATCAGTATAGACCTTCTTGCTCAAATCAATTTTCAGCTTCCTGCCCAAGTCTTTATATTCGGCGGTCACAACATTCAGGCGCTCCTTCATTAGGGTCAGATTCTGCAACAGGTGGATTGATAAGTAAATATGACGTGATAGCAAACTCTGCAGCCAGCGTGCGCGATCGACACGAGGTACACTCGAAGGTATGTCGTCAAAGCCATTTGCAATGCCCAACGCCGAGTGATCACAACAAAATGTGGATTGTGCGTAGTCCGCAATATACGTATTACAATGACGCCGAAAGAAAGACTTCGAGAAAGAGCTGTAGAAGTTCATCGTAAAAGGAATACAAATCATCTACAGGGAAGATAAAAAGGCGGCAAAAATAATTTATGTGCACATACATGAATCTGACGAGAAGAATCTTCTATATATATGTTCGTATACATATGTTTCGACAATTATCACCTACATTGATTACATCTTGTAACAACATACCTGCTTCATGGACACTTTAACCTGCTGGGTCTCCTTCCACTCCGGAGACGCCAGCATATCAATTATGGACTGATAGTGCCCGTCCGCATATGTGGCGAGTGTGTGGTACGCCTCAGCCAAGGATTCCGGTTCACATACGGGTTCATACTCTGCAATGCACCGCTGCATCTCAGTGATCTGCGCCTCTGGCCCATCGGCCTGGAAGATGCTTTTCCACTTGCACTCCAGCAACGCAACCTTTGCGGTTAGTTGATCAAGTGCCACGAGGTCTCCATTCTCCGAATCAAGGGGTTGATGGTGATGTGATACCTGAATACATTTTGAGGTAAGCTTATCGTTTAGAACATATTTGTAAATAAAGTAATAGATTAATTGCTTCCCATCATCGCTAATAACACCATTAGATCCACTGAAGGTATGCTACAAATGCTAAAAATTCGAAACTGAAATACAATTTGCTTTGCCCCAGCCCATCACTTTACACCTCTTTCCAGATGAATCGCTGATTATTGAATTCAGAACTCCTACTATTTTAAACTTCTTCAATACGATATGAAACCACTCACATCGGTACGATCCTTAGACAGGCGAGCTCTCATAGTATGTAGCCACGACAGTGCAGTTTCCCACTGCTCCTCTTTCCGACTGGCTTCGGCCGATTGTAGCATCCACAGAGAGAACTCAGACGCTGTGTTGCCGACGGTTGTCGTACTAATATTGTGCCGGTTAGCATTGGATGAGTCCTGCAGGGAACGGACTGGGAGCTGGACATCGACACTCAGTCTACGCATCTCTAATATGAGTTGTCTGGCAAGATGCAATCGGTCAGCGTTGCTCGCCAGATTGGAATATTCGCTGAGATGGACTAATTGCAATCGTCTGGCGGTTGTGCTGGGCGACAATACTAAATGCGATGGGGAATAAGCCTTTAGTTCAATTGGTGTTTAAACAGACTAGTTTATATGAAGTAAAATAATCGAGATCAAACTGCATCGGTAGGAAAACTGTGACCAAAATCGAGCCATCCGAAAGGAACTGACTAGTACACACGCGCTACAGCAACTCTACTGTCTCTCAAAGCCACTATGCGGTGCAATCAAGGAGTCTTCCGTCAATCGAGATGCGTGCTACCGAGAATAAATCAATTTAGAAGGGACGTAAAATAATATCGCGCAGTGTATATCCGAACAAAATTCACACCAACCATCAAAAGAGCTGTCTTCAATAGTCACCGCATCAACATCCGATAAAGGGTCTGACATTGCCAAGTAAGCACTTCTCATACCGGAAGTCCCAAACTCACTCCGCACCCGCAAGATGCCCAGGAGCACTTGTCGGACAGCCAACACAGGCTCAGTAAATGCAAAGTCATTCATGCGCCAGCAATTCAACCTTTTGTTCCACATTTTCACCATACTGTCCACATTGGCAGCTGTCCGGGTGACTACAGTGCGTTGAATAGACGCTTTTGATGGACTGGATAGACTTGATAAGCTCCCAATACTACTTGTAGCACGCAAAAGGGCATGCGCCTCATTCATCTCGTTCAGACTGCTAAGCCATGCCAGGGCACTATACGTGCCTGCCATATTCTCGTGATTCGCTTGGCCTAGTTTCTGCACGACCATGAGGTGTAATTGCCGTGCCGCGCTGGAGAACACACTAGCATTGTTGTCTGCCAGACCCTTCAAACATACAAATGTGAGTTGCTGCAACACTTCTCTGGACTTCTGTTGACCCGTAACAAGGTCATCTACGTCCATCGAGGATGCATCTGTGAGCCGCGTTAGGGGATGTGAACGAGGAGTAGGGGATAAGGAGAAACTTGCATCCCATTGACCTAGGCGCCAGGCAGCTTCGTACTGGTACTCGGCTATCTCGCTCTCCAGTTCCGGGTGCTTGGCCACAAGGCCGGCGGCGTAGTATTCCAGCACATGCGCATAGCCCATATTCTGCATGGCCGCCAAGATAGGGTTATGACCAACCCTTTTCCTCTCCATTCTATCTGTACCTAAACCCCCGTGCATATCGCGCAATCGAGCTCGCTGGTCGCTGAGAACCAGATCAGATGTCGAGAATGTGCCCAGGTAGTCTCGTTGGTGATCTTGGGCCAGCATACGTGTCGTGTAGCTGAGACAGAAATTGGCACCTGTCAGGCTATCAGGTTCATTGATTGCGCTGTAGATGTGAAGGAACAAACGCTTGTGGTCGGGGAGATCCTTGTCCACGACGGCCATGGCGTCGAACGTTGCGCTGTGTGTGGGGTTGTTGGTGATGCCACACCATAACTCGAGATACAGAAGGGCAGACAGATAAGAGCCAGCATTGTACGCAGCAAAGGCGACCTGTGTGGAAAATGTTGAATACAAGATAAAAATGGGTTAGGAGTAACATATAGTCGCGAAGAGTACAATTCTGTCATGCACCAGAAGAACCAAGGGTATCGTTACAATCACTGGTGTATATTACTGTAAACAAAATTACACGACTGATAACAGTTTGCAGCAAATGTATGTCTCATGTAATTTGTACAATGGAGAACCGCTAGGCACATCCAGAAATGCTTGTTGCCAATCTCACACCTACTTTCTTATAGTCGATGTCGAGTGCCACTTCGTGCTTATCAACATTCATAACACTGCCGAGGCTTGCACGAGACAAGTTTCGCTTGGATCTCGAAGTCTTTCCACTCCCCTTCCGGCCAGTCAACGATGCAGCTGCACTAGACATAGATAACTCCCAATACGACACATCACACCCACTCCCGTACACAGTCCTACCCCCTATCGGGAGACTGACACGGCGCAGGTGGTCAAGCGCGGATAATATGGCACGCACAGCCTTCTTCTCGTCGGCCGTGTGCTCTACTTTGGATGCGGCAAGTTTGAAGAAGGCACGGAAACCATCGGACAATTGGCGATACATGTCTGGCGAGTTAAGCACACGACTACCGCTGGGCGACGGGGATTCTTTGAGCAGAGAGTAGATCAGCTCTGGCAGCAGAAATTCGCAGAAGTCGTATTTGTACGGACAGACAAAGTAGCACGACAGCAGACTCTTATCCACGACACCAAAATTTAGGATCAGCGAGCAGCAGATACTTTGTATCCATACAACGTAGTCGACTCTAGCTTTTCGTGATTTTTGATCTTGTTGAGGGTTGCTATCTTGGAACACGCGCGTCCACATGGATATATCATGTGGCAGAAACATAAGAGAGGAGAGCAGCTTGCGGACACCCACATGCCGTGAATTGGGTGTCAAAGTCTCGACCGTTGACCCGCGGATCTCATCTAAGTACTTGTACAGTCGTGCGTACTTCTGCATTCGCCGGTTAGTGAATAGCCTGGTCTGGAACGGTGCCAAGTATTTGGCTATGTGGCTTTCATCCTCTGTATTCTCCAGACTCTCTATCTCCCGCACAGCAGTCTGTATCTCTGGCAGTTCCAGCAAACAGAACAAACTCTTCTGCGCTGCCTCCACCACCAAAGAGTTTGGATCCGCGATGAACTCCGTAAGTTTCGCGAGAAGAGTCAAGGACCGAACTTCCTTCAGCTTAGCGATGGACTCCTTCGACTGCTCAGCCACCAGTCCACTCGAAGTCTGTTCTCCACTCACTTCATCTATGTCCTGCGTACTCTTACGGGACGCAGACCTTTGCTTCACTGCGCGACTGGCGTTCCGCGAACTCAGCGTGTTCTGCTGCAAATCGGATATCGCTCGAGCAAGTTTGCTCCCCTCGCTATGTTCACCTAGCAACCGGCTCTCTCTAAATGCCTGCACACGTAGGTCGATACAGCCCACCTCACCCAAACAACTGCCCGCTGCCAGTTGCACGTCTGGAGGAACCTCAGGCCGGCACATCGTAATCAGAGAGCTCACTAGATCAGCAAGTAGAACCGTTACATTATCATCGTCCTCAGTAGCCGCGAGAATGTTCAGCTTATCACGCCTTTCCCGCAGCTGTTGTGTCAAGTGCTTGATGCCTGCCAGGCGCGACCCGGCATCGAGTGTGCGACCGTTATCAATAAAGCGCCGAATCTCTTGCTTGAGACTGAGCTTGCCGTAAGCTCTGCGCAGGGTCTTGTTCGCGGCGACGAAGTGTGTGCACTCAGGCAAAGGCTCCGTTCGCTGTAGGTGCGTGTAGTACAGTGTGTTCGTCTCTATACTCTTATCCACGAGCAACTGTTTGATCAAATTCGTAGCCTTTTCTGTAGTTCTTGATGCAACGGCGACTCTCGTACTACCCGAACTGGTAGTATCGGCGTTCGCACACATAGATATGTTATCAACATCCGAATCTGCACTACCAGGCAGTTTACAATTCACGGCACCGTACGGATGGCTTATGCGCAGAAGAGCGGATAGGACCAGAGACAGCAGCCGGCCAGCCTCGTCTGGACTGTGTTCTAAACCAAATGCACATGTATTCGCCAGCATGTCGATACACTCCTGAACAATAAATGTAAATACATGAGGCGGATGTCCATTTGACGGATTTTTCTAGGAATTTATGACATCTGAATAAACCAGACACACTTACAAAATGACTTCAGTTCGGTATCATGGCAACACATCTACACACCTCTCTAAAGATGAACTCATCTATTTGAAGGCACGACAGCTGTATGCTCACGGCCGATCGGTAAACTAAATTGTTACCCAACAACGAGCCGATCCAATTTAAATATAACGAGAGTGCGGACAGCAGGCGACGGCGCTGCAGAAATATAAGTTGTTAACGAGTCATAAAATGTATAGAGAGTCCCTTTCGAAGTAATAAAATGTTAGGTATTTCATTGGGCGAGCCATTAGGACATTCGAAATTACGATAGGATAAGGGTACGTCTATGTCTCTGCAAAAAACTTACTGTGGGTGGGTAATTGCACTCCGCCAGCTTCTTTCCAAGCTTCATCAGCACGACAGCGGCCACACCTGGAGAGCTGCGCACAGACTCTGCCTTTATATCACCCGCGCCGATTTTCAGGCGATTTATCTGACTCAGGCTAACAAGCATACTGGTCGAGTCGCAAGTCGGGGGCTGTGGCACAGGATCACTCGACCGTCCCAACCACTTATAAGCAAATGCAGAGGATATAGCTCGCAGAATGTCGTGCGGCTCTCTGCGTGGCTGTGGGACATCGACTGTTGTGGTTGCAGTAGTTGAATCACTTGCTGGTGAGGGTTCGTATAGTGTAAGCAGCAGCTCGACGATGAGAGATTCAGGATCGTCGGTTATGATTTCGAGACATCGGTGTGCTCCAATATCCTTGTAAAGCTCGGCAAAACTTTCGTCAGAATAACTGCAAGGTGGTGAAGTTGACAGAGAATTTCGATGTGACCCATTCCGACAAAACCCTGTCATACACATTTGTTTGAGCACTGGCTGATGAGAACGACATGTAGCTTCCGAGTAGACCGTAACCACGATCATACCATACGCACAACACAGTAGAGAACAGATAAGCGACGAGCGGGGGTTTAGAAGCACAATGAGACAGTAGGAGATAAAAACGCAGTCATATACTGCATACCCCTCACTGCAGAGTTGAGGCAAGGCAAAAGCGTGCACCTTGGGGAAGTTCTCCAGCAAAAGATCGGCGCACTGCTTACAAAACAGCTTGGCAACCCGGTCCAGCAGGTTTGTTGTTCCCTTGTAAAAGAACAGCGCCACGATATCGCTGATGAATTCGGTAGAGAGAGACCGAAACGAGCTGAAACCTAAAGCCGGAGCCGGAAAATCTTCCAATATGATATCAAACTTGTACACCCAGTCATAGAGAGCGAAAGGGACGAATTCCGCGTAGATCTCTTCGGGGGTGCTATAATCAAGTAGTAAGGAAAAACCAAGGATTTCGTCAACCACCAGCGTGTAGGGGGCCTTGTGATGTCCCACCCACAGCATAAACGAGAAGCAGATCTTCGCCACGCACTGACAGCGAGTTCCCACCAGCATGAGATTATGCATGCTTGTTTCTAGTACACTTGCACTGATACGATCGGTTCCAACTGTGGACTGCAACCGTTCCTCTATATCTCGCCTGAAGGCTGTGATGTATACGACTTGACTCTCGTCCGAGCGCAGCCGCAGGAAGGGGCTTAGGACTTCCCCGGCGAGTACACGAAGTTGGAAACTGCTATCAAATAGTGCCGCTTCGATTACCTGGAAAAAGCGAAAACTCATCCGTTAATTTGAAATTTGGCCACGCACAAAATAGGTGAGTACCATAATGCAAGCTACCATTAAAGCTAAAGCTATCTGTATCTGAAAACATTCAATTGGTATATTAACACATATCGCATCGAATCTACATGCATTTCAATGTTTGAATGACACAGAAAAAACGGGTAGCGTAGTAAAACATAGATATAGATTTTGAAACTTTCTCGCCAAGCGACAGAGCTCAGATGAACAGGAAAAAATTATGCAATAATCACAAACTCGCAATTCAGTTAAAATACAGGGCAATTAACAAAAATGCAAATTGATGGTGCATTCCACATTTCTCGGAGAAAGTTATAATCCTGTAAACACATAAATTCATATGCATATTTACAGCAACTTGACCTATGTCTGATCCTCTGCTGTGTAATGATTGTTGCGTACGCAAAAATTGTAGACAGCGACGTCAATTATTACATCCCGACCAGAAGACCGATTTCTACTTGTTGCATCCATATTTAAACATAGTCCGATGATCGCACAACCCTCAGTCGAATTAATAAGCGCCTGTCGTTCACAGCTGAAGAGTCACGGTGGAACACAAATCAAAGGATTGATACCAATATTTGTGGTACCAATTTTGCGATACAAAGCAAATAAACAAACGTATGCACTGCTCAACATTTCATTATCATACCTCTCCAATAGTGATTATCACTTCAGCTCCTGGAGTCTCAGAGCTGATATCAACACCGGAGATTGGCAGAAAAGCAAGAAAGTAACCACAGCAACGCAGATATAGAAGACGCTCAGGCCCGACCAACATTTGCTCATTGAACAAGTGATTGAACCCTGTATCCAGTAGAAATACCAGGATACTATAGGCTGAATCCTCTGATGCACACTGCTGCCGTGTCACACCTGCCGCCATGACCTCTGGAAGGATTTCTGAGATTATAGTAAGCGCATAGAGTTGCATGGGAGGTGTGTTCCAGTGCTGAAGAAAACCCTGGGTGCCCATCATCACATGATCCGCATAAGTGGCCGGCAAAGCCATAGAGAGTGCATGCCAGAAGGGCATCAGCAACAGAGTAGTCTTGTCACGCACCTCCCTCGTCAGTGTCTCTCCTAGAGCCATATCGATGTCGGTCGCAACGGCACTTTTACATATACTACCACCGGCTTTCACGCCACCCAAAACAGCTTTCAATGTTCGCAAAATGGGGATCATGGCCGTCTTGCCATGTATTTCCCGTATCACATCACCGGCTGCGGGGAGAGCCAGACCACCGCGAGATGCAGCATGCACACGCGATGGAACTAGACCGGCTGCCTTATACTTCATCCGGCTGTTCGCACTCGATGCAAACTCCGTATCGCTATCACTATCGTCGCCAAAACTGTCATGAGCCTGCAGCATCCCATTGTTCAGACGGCGTTTCTTCTTACTTCGGGGTTCTACAGAATTGTCCTGGGCCACTACTACAGTAAAGTCCCACGGCAGTCTGACTGCTGCGAGGCAGATATTACTTACATCGCTCAGCAATTGGGTACAAGACAACTCTACTATGGTTTGAAGGGTTTCGATCATCCCTATACAAGTGTCCTCGCCATCCCAAGTTGCGTGCATGTGATCCTCAAGGTTGTCGTGGGCACAAGGTATATTAAATAGCATCTCCATCAACTTGGCCGTGCCTTCTAACACGATAGGATTGCTTTCGGCCAGTCGGAGTGTCGCTACTATCTCCGCCATTCTTGTCGATAAAAGTGTTGTGAGGGGGTGCCCTGGGGCTAAGATCATACCACCCAAGTGCACGGACATGGCTGTATACGTCAACAGTATCGCAATATGGCCAAACTTGTAAGGTAGTCCAGTTGAATCATCGCGAATCGCAATATCACGTTCATTGGTGCTTGAAGAGGATGCTGGCATCGGCGTCTCTTCTCCTTTTTTCTCTGCTGCATAGAGCGTTTCTAGCACTTGAGTTTCCAGCGCTGGTATCACAGTAGGCGACAGTCTACATGATTCCTGCTCCCTCTGCTCCATCTGTGTTGTAGGTGACTCGCTCAGAATGACACCAACACCCTCATCGAGTGCAAACATTCCGTTTACCAGGCTCAGCATCTTCTCCTCCCAGCGTACATTGTCCCTATCCAACGAAGGCAATAACGTGCACAACTTCATATACTTTCTCGTATGTTGCTGTGTTCTTTCCACTCGAGGAGTAACCCCTAGATAACTATAACAGCCATCCGCCTCGCCACCTTCCATCACGCCATCTGCTAATTTTTCCGGACAAAAGAATTGTGCCCCATTCTGGTACGATAGTGCAAAAAGTGCTGCACCAATGGCCTGGGCATCGCCCATTGTTAAGTCCGGGGCTTCTCTAGTATATTCTCCACCAGGTCGTCGGCTACGCTGTGCATCTTTGGGCGAGTTTTGCAGGGCTGACAAAAGCCAGGCGGTCAATTTAGGCTTCACAGATGACCCTCCTAGTGCTAGCACATCGCTAAGAAGCACGTTCGTGCCCATATCTCCGCTACTTCCAGTATGCTGAGCCGAAGTATTCCCCTCCAAACGGATGACCAACATCACAAGATCGACAGATACACGGGTAGGCTTGGCCCCAGCTGTATGCAACATATCCACTAACTGATCAAGCAGTTCAGCAATCGCGCCTGCTGCCGGCAAGCGCTGCTGCACGATACTCTGCAAAGAATACAACACATTATTCGTGCACACCTGTTGCTTCTCACCGAAGAGACCCACCCCGGCGCTGGCGACCCTGCGATAGGCTGCTACCAGTTCAGATACCACCTTTCCCCACAATTCAGTTTGGACTTCTACCATTTCACCCCGGTAATCGCAGGCCATCGCCAAACCCTCGAGTGCATACGCGGCAGCAGAAACGCGTTCTGTCTCGTTCTTTGTTTGGTGACTTTTTGCGAGTACCTCTACCATTGTGCGGATCCATCCTATCTTGCACTCAGCCGACAAACTGGGAAACTTTACAGCCAACGCCCTTGTGATTCCGATCGCGAGGAGATCACCACTCACCAACTCTTGAGCCAACTCTACAGGCCCTAAAAGCGCGTTTGATGGCGCAAAAGACCTACTATTTGAGGGCAGAGTTGTATCGAAATCCGTAATACCCAGATCAAGATCCAGTTCTATGCCTTCCGCAGGGTGCGATATAGTGCCGCCAGATTGACTCTGGGCCTTTCCAGGGGGCATATCATCAACATACATGGTAGTCGACATGCCGGGAAAGAAACACTCAGGTGCCCGGAAGAACAGAACGTCCGCGGCCATGTCCATGTAGCACTGGTGCTCATAGGCAGATATGGTACTGTACGTCGATGTTGTTGTACGTCTACCAATGAACGGCACGGCGTTGTGTACCCGAGAGGTACGTTCCACGTGTTCACCTAAATCGCGCAGCACACATTTGTACACTCCATCTTCGCTCGGTATCTCCTTAAGTACTACGTTGGTAATGTGTCTGTCTAAAGGAACTACTCGGGACCCAGCAGGTCGGTGCGAAGTGGCCGGACTAGGCGATTGAGATGGTCGAGCGGGCCTATAGAATCTCATTCGAAAACGTATGTACTGTACGATTTCATGTTTCAGCTCAACTCTGCGGGTATCCCACAAGGATACAAGGTTTGGGGAGACATAGGAATCCAACTTCCTAACTACACCAGGCAGATCCAATGCTACCGCCTGGCAGAAGTGAGTGGCCGCATTGAGCATCAGTTTAGTCGAGAGACCCTCCCCGCAATTAGCTTTGAAGAAGGCTGTGAGGCAGCTTGTAACATACCTGGCTACACTCGCGAGTCGAATACCCTCATAATAAATCAACGCATGAACCACCTTGCACAGATTCTCTCTATCGCGCGGTGAAGTATTGTCACGCAATGTCGTGGCGAAGAATGAGAACATCTTCGTCCAGTCGCTGTCACTAATGGTGCCGATGTAGTCAATCACTGGTAGTATATACTCTGATAACATTCCTCGATAGATCGACAGGACGGGTATGGCACCGTACGCAGCTTCACCGGTTATAATCGGTGTGATGTGCTCACTGACAAGTTTTTCCATACTCTCCATAGGAATAAGTGGGTATCCGTGGCGTGCCGAGAGTTTCAGCACCAAGCGTAACAGCTCGCATGCTTCCCGCAGATTCTTGTAGGGATCAGCCGTGGCCTTCTTCTTCTTTGCAATGGTAGCCTCTTTGTCCACACAGGTGACCACAGCGTTTGCTACTTCCTGAATAGTGGTATAAAAATGGTAAGTAATCACATAACTGTTCACATACTGTTATCCTTTATCCTTGTCCGATAAAAAACTTAGATACCAGGGGAACGAAGCACATGCCACTTTACACAGAGAGGCTTCGCAGTATTGTACAACTAAGCATAAAAAAATCTGCTACTCTGATACTATCTGAGCTAGCGGGCTACCTAGTACGAACATCCCTATAGCAAAAAAGGACACAATCGATCATATAGGGGCAATGCCTAGATCGAGCGCACTGAATACTATGCGCACCATTAAAACAAAGCTATGCATTTGTATGCGTTGTTAGACTGGCACGTCAACAAAACGTACATCACCTTTTGGCTGCAAACATTGATTGATTGAATGATTAAGAGGGTACGCCGATTGATATGGATACCAGATTGTTACAAACAGAAACACACTCACTCAAGCACATATCATTTCGGGATTAAATTTTCACACACTAAGAAACTTCAATTGTCCCATATGAAGTGTATAACCTTCTCAACCACTACATACGCCTTAAAGACAACGACTTAACAGTGGTTTAAATAATTCCACGATTTTATCAGATCATCAATTTTGTGAAATCCATTTTGATTGTTAGTAAGGGTTGCATCTTTCTTTACAACCGTGCCTGATGCTAATGACCGTTTCAACTTTCACATCTACGTTGGTATATGTATTAATAAGCGAGAAAAAAGGCAGTACGTGCATCACTAGACAGCGCTGTTATCCAGACATAATTGGAGGATCTTTCAATATATCAAACTCACACTTATACGAAGGTCATATCGTAAACAGACAACAAAATTATATCGAAATAGCTACTGTACACTATGTTCAAGGGTTTGAAGCTAATAGGATGCGCGAGACCATTATAATCATGTATTTATGTGCCACGAAAGAAGCTGTATCCAGGCTGCTACCGATTATTGAACTAGCATCTCATAGGCATTTTCACTCTAGCCTATCTTCAATAACTGGCCACGTAAGGTGTGATGGCAATGTAGTTTAGCAAGCACCCAGGTACGTATGATTCCTTACATGTGCACACCTGAGCTTATACGCACACAAAACAAATACACACATAAGACACAGATTTATATAAAATAAACCTGGTGATACACATACAAGAGAACACACATACCTGCCACATAACATGCCGGTCGTTGTCTCGTACAGTGTTGCTGTCGAATCTATCTAGATCGCCAGCACTGTCCAGAAGAAGTGTAAGTTGACTCCTAGCGTCCGCCCGAGTCTTTACCAAATCAGCGTGCAGTCTCTCGAACGTGCTACGATAGTCGAGATCCCAATCCATGATGTCAATACAAACGTGTTGTTACCCCACATAAGTATGAAATAGCTAACTACTGCTCTAACGCTCCGAATCTCTTACATTCTCCGACCGACCATGTCCTAACGCATGCAATACTATGAACTATCCTACAATGATTCATTTGCACTCTGGAAAAGTCCTACATGGTTTACGCTGTGTGCCAGACCTTACAGTTACGTGTGTAGCTCTGGCAGCAGGGCCAAATAATGTTGATCTTTTATGATAACACGAAAGCTGACAGCATATTGCATTTATCTGTACAATTTACTGAATTTTCATTTGTGAACGTGATTTAGCGATGCCCGCGAAAACTCGATCCGACTATATTAGGTAGGCGGGAGAATCATCAATTATTCAAGCCGTTGTCCTGAGAGTGGCTGAGACTTTAGACTTTGAGACCGGATAGGCTGAGACAGTTGAGAGTTGAGACTTGAGAGTTGAGTCTTGAGAGGTGAGACAGTTGAGACTTGAGAGGCTATCTATAAAACATAAATATAAATATGAATGAACGTTTGACTGCTCAGAGTTCGTGATTCCACCACCGGGAAGCAGCATATTGTTGTTTATCTCAACGATAGACACTATATCGCACTTACTGCATACCATATGTAAGCGGCCGTGGCCTGTAAATAATCCAATCCACGCTTCACTTATGAAGTAAACACTCATCAATGCAGCGTAAAGTATCATTCTTACGCGTGAGAGATTGAAATAAATCAGGATATGCAGCTGAGATAGCAATATTGAAGACAAAAATCCGGAATCAAACACAATGAGGATCGCTTGCAAAGTGCAAGTAGAAGCTATGAGCAGTAAAGGACCGCAGAAGTCTGGACGGTTGCTGAAGTCTATCTTGATTGTGGTGAGTGTACAGAACAAAATCATCAAGCAAATGTTATATAAGACTTATAACGAGATTGTTTCGAAGTTCGTTTGATGACTGTGGTCAATTAGAATAAATAGGTGGGACGCCTAGGTCAAAGATTTTTTTTTAACCAAACTATTCGCCCGCGGTAGTAACTGATAGAAGTTCCAGTGTCCAACTTCTGTTCAATTGCTTTTGTGTGATACAGGGTCGTGAACAGACACGGTCGGCATTCCGCAAGACCAATCAGTTGACTCTGATGCTCTGCACTTCGAACAACAGCGGCACTCAGTATCAGGTATACTCTGTTGCGTGCAGTCAAATTGACCAATACCTTTGTTATATTACTCGCAGGTACACGCAAACGTTTCTGTACTCATAGATGGCATGTTCTTATATTTATCCCAGCTTGGCCAACACTTTATGTCACATTAATCGCAGACACATTCGTACTTTGTCTTTCATGCAGAGACATGTTATCTATGCTATATGAGTTTTACGTGTGATTCCAAGTCATGCGTGTTCCTCGTTCCAAATGCCATTTCTGACATTTCGACGTCTGATGTCACTTGCAGTTACAAGGCAATGTCGATCGTGTCCATGGGGCCTTTGTGAAAGATGGAAAGATGTCTTTCTCCTTGAAGAAACCAAACTATCGCTTCGTCATCAGCGGTGTAAGACCATTTATTGACTCTTTACATGTTAAATGAACCGTTTCAATAATTTGGTTAGTAAGAGCTGCCTGTCGTATGCGCCGTGTATCCATTTTGCACCCCTTCGGAGGAGCACTTGGTTCCAACTTGCTGCTTTTGTATCCACTAGGCACCGAGCGTTTGTTCTCCTTCGAATCCGTAGCTGCATAGTTCTGCAATTAAGACGTATATCTCGAGTATTCTACTTCTCACAATTTTTTTTTAATCACAGGCTATGCATACTGCCAAATAGCTATTTCGTGATTCGTGTGCTTTTGTTATGTTTTATCACGGTGCGTGCGCATGTAGTCAACAATACGGTATCATTAGATCGCTGATACTTATTACACTTTCTGCTGGTGTGTTATATCACACAGGGTGATCCTGAAGATCTGGCCAACTTTGCCAGGATACTGCAGAAAGCGAATAACCACTTCGAGTCGGTGTTCGATAAAGAGCTGTCTGAGCTAAAATTTGTCGATACAACCGACGTAACTATGGTCCAACGCCTGGTAATCGATGTATGTATTAGTGTGGCAACCTCTCGGTTCCCCTTGCGGACTGTAAACCTGGGGAGTGGCGTTAAATGGTCCTATCTCTGATTCACATACTGATTGACTGGGCGTCAGTATAGGTGCGCGAAAGAGGCGAACCGAAAACCCTGCAGAAGAACTCCTACTTTTCCCAGTCCTGCGTGGACAATAGACAATTGGCACATAGCGTATACGCGTTAGGAAGGTGTCACGTATCTGTTTTTCGTTTGTCTTTCGAGAGATATACTAACTATGCTGTCAACAATGGCGGGTTTATGTCCTGTCAGGCAGAGAAGAATGTACCGGATGACTTCCCGCCCCGTCTCCAGCATCTCACCATCACCCACCACAACCTTCAGTTTGTAAGTGGCAAGGTTATGGCTATAAGGAATCTGACGAGTCTCGATCTGTCCGGCAATGCTATCAGTGCTATTCCTGCTGAACTGGCTAATTCGTTGCCTCGATTAGGTATGTTCCACTTTATACCGCGGTATTTGTAATATAGTGCTTATTGGAAGCGTGCTATCAAAAACACTGCAGTTGCTGGCCAGGGTGTCAGCAGCTCACCGTCGACACAATTCGGTTGCCTACCAAGTTTATTGTCAAAGCACTTATCAGAATATAGGGCTGTCCTTGATGAATACAGTGTGTTTGACTCGCCTTGCGAATTATTTGTCTACTTGGATGTCCTGTCGAACTATTATCGAACATAATCACAAGGATTCTTATCACTGATGTCCAAATGACGCTATGCTTAACAATTTCCTGCAATATTTTCTTGCAACTTCCTCGCAGCTTTGCTCAATCTTGGGTATAATAGGATCCGTACCATTCCCGATAAAATCTTCTCACTGCCATTGAAAGTGCTGAATATGGAGCACAATCTGTTAACGAGCCTGAATGAGACTTTCTGTAAATTGCAGTCGTTGCGAATGTGCAATGTAAGCCATTGCAAACTGAACTCCTTACCAGAAAGTTTAGGAAGATTAAGAGAGCTGAAACAGCTGGACCTATCGAATAACCAACTGCAGCACCTGCCGTACACCTTCAAGCACTTGAAACTGGACAGTTTGGCCTTATTTGGAAACCCATTCACCATAGATACAAAGGGCAACAAGACGGCGTATACGACACCATTCCCGACACCTTCGTTGATGGAATACTCTGCGCGTCACGCGATTCTAAGGTATGTATTGCGTTTTTGTTTTATAATTCGATGAGACGAGGCAATGGAATTTAGAACGTCGTGCCATTTGAGTGCCAACTACGTGGCAAACACCTCTTGCAGTATTGTATCTCTACGAATGTACTTGATATATTCTAGAGTTTCTGTGGACTCGCTGGCTATTATATTTTAGTCTGGGTGCCCAGCTGTATCTCGGCTGTAAGATGGTCTTCATGGCCGTGGTCTGAACGCATATTGTTTATGCAATAATTTTGGCTGAAATCGGCCTTCTTACTTTACCTTTTTCAGTGTTTCTAGGATACCCCGACATAAAGTCAGATACTACATGCCGCTTGAGCTAGTCTATTATATGAAGCAAGCCCGGCGATGCTCTCAATGCCAATGTCGCATGTTTGATCCGTGCGTGTACAAGCAGCTTGTTACAGCCTTTGATTGTACAACCATAGCCACAACAGTGACCATGCATGGCACACATCTCGCCAAGGTGCCTCTGAAGCACTTGGTGTGTTCCAGGACGTGTATGTTACTGCTTTTCCCGCCAAAAAAGCGCCCTCGACCAGCGGACGCGGCTGGCAGGCCGGCTCAGCGCGTGCGCACAGGGAGTTAGCATTGAATTATAACTAGGAGAATTAGTAAATAATCCATACAGTATTTTTCACGGTATGACTGGCAACTGTTCGTTTCCGCTGTGAGTACCTATTCAAAATCTTCTGAAACTGACGATAGCTCAGAAAATTGAATGTGTATACCAGGTAAAATATTTTTCACGAAGGTGTATGTGTGTTATACACTATTCTGCCCTTCATATCAGTATACATGTATTGAGTGCATATGAGGAAGTGACACCATGCTGCTGTATGGTAACCAAAGACTTCACTAGTGGTCGTAGTGGTTCCTGCTGTGACAGCCCTAACCATCTGATCCAGTCAATGACTTCATGCTACGGACGCATCCAGTATTTGTTGTCCAATTAGTGTCAGGTGTCTGAGAGGCGTGACTATATTACGGTTAAAGGGTGCACGGAATATAGAATGGACCCGGTTTTCGAAAGCACACATACAAACGTCCATTGTGGAATGTACCAGTGAGACTGAAGTGGTTTCTTTATTGCGCTTTTGGAGGGAACGATGTCATCGCAATGCACAAGATGAATGAGTTCAGACATAGGAAGAAACTTGGCTAGGCAAAAAAACAAACAAGGAATCTACCTAGAGAATCAGCCAACCATCGATCCAGTGTGGCTGTAGTTGCGGGTGTTGCTTGAGATAACAAAAACCGCCTGACAGCCAACCTACGAGGGTTCACGAGCCCTGCGGAAGCACTGCTTGTCGTGGTTGCTATGAATATGCGCTATGATCCTGGACTCGCGTATTTCTTGAGGACATGGGTTGTAAGCCTGCCGAGCCCAGATCCGTGATGTGGAATCTGATAAAAGGACATGGCGACGTACTACCCAACGCATTTGTGTATGTTTGGCCATTAAGTTTCAATGGTCTTTTGGTATCACCAGGCACTGGATGTGTAGTTCTGGTTTTGAGAATGATGCCTAAATCGGAACCAGACGACTGAACAGTGGCTGAGTAGCCGCGAGCGCTTGTCAGGGGCATATCTCATCTCATCGTGCTACTACTACAGTAGCATCACTGCGGTGTGTCATCCCTGTTCGACAGATAGACCATTCCTCTAGTTATGTACGACTTGTTTCACTCAATCCTTGTAAGGTCTAGCTTCAGCCCCATCGGGTGCCTGTATCTGAACCTTATCCTTTCCGACTTCGTCCCAGTTGGTGCTGAGTACAGTGCCGCCACTCTCCTGGAAGGACTTGTTCATGGCTCGCCGGGTTTCGGGCGTGGCATCCTTGTAGATATCCTGGAAGAGTTTCTGCAGTGCTGCATCTCCCTCTGGTTTCTCATCAGCCTCTTCCTCGTCTATATCCTTCACCAGCTTGTTCCAGTCTGGGTAGGGAAATGCAGGAATAGGGTAAGTTCAGATTACTATGCAGTGCGCGTGGCTGAGGAGGCGATGTGCGCGAACAGTGTTCTCGAGAAAATATGCACAGAAAAAGAAGTACTTTCAAATATGTACAGAATATACAGAGATACACATATAGAACCGCCTCACAATGGATACGCACACTATACACGAGAATCCAATAAAGTATACGACTGTGACGACACAATATTCCATTGAGCGCGGTGGTACATTGGTTGGTGCGCAAAAGTTGGCATTCTCCTGCAGTTGTTCTTGCCTCAGGAGTCGTCTACTAGTGGGCGAAAGCTTCATCTCACCGTCCTCTCTATATAAACGAGATTTACAACAAACCTCCTGTGAAGGTAACGCCACAATACCTGCGATCATTCGGAACAAAACAGCACAACAAATACCTTATAATAAGGTACAAGATATGCTCATATGCTCATTTGAGGTCATAAATCGGACAATCAACACATACACAGTCGCTCGGTAGAAATTTAGAGATGAGTCAGTACCTGTAGGCTTCCTTAGGGTCTTGGGAGCTGGCTCCTCGCTGTCTTCGATTTCAGTACTTTCCGGTTGCTCGAGTGTATCCCACCTGGCTGCAGTAGCCTTTCGGAGTGTCAGCTCGAACTTCGGTTTTGCACGGCGCCAGGTGCATTCGGCGGGTACTGGATATAGAAGAGAAGACATTAGTCATCGATATATCAGTAGGTAGATGTGAAAAGATGTACACAACATATTGACAAGGAACTTTGATCTGAACAAAAATTGCTTGTATCAGACACTGCCATAAAACACTACACGATTAGAATCTTTTCGCGAGTTGTTTATGCTAGGTGTGCTCACTGCCACAAAGTAATAGCAATAGCTTATGCACCACATGCACGTATCTCACATATACATTGTACGCAGGCTCAAGCTTACATCAAAATATAAAAAAAAACAGTATACCTCCGCCGGAGAGAACACTCACGGGCACACAGTACACCTCCCCTCTAATGTCACGCAATTAGTACTCACATTCGAACTATATACACAGAAACCTTAAATACCAACACACATGCAACAGCTACGAAAGCACGCACAATATATGCGCATCTCAAAGCAATCACGCACCGCATCACACATGAGCTTTAAGCCGTACCGATCCCAATATGAATGGTTTTGTGATAACCCACATAACTAAAGGAAATTTTTAACATGTGAGTGCTGATATTTCAGGTATTCAGACTAAGAACATACTCAGACCAATGGGAAAAGAACCCTACCAATATCAGCAAACGTCCTCTGATCCAGCAAATATTCCGACCCTCCCGGCAGCTTGAGTGTGACACACATGCTCTGCGGCGTCAGCTCGATCTGTACATCCTTCTCCTCCAAATTCTTAACAAATATACTCACAATCACCTGTGTGTCTGTTTGGTACCATTCGTACCGTGTTTTAGCAGGCACTGTGGGCACGACAGGTACAGACACTGTTGCTGGTATAGGCGCAATAGTAGGCTTGGTGACGGCTTTAGGTGCCTGGGCAGGCTTAGCTACAGGCTCGTGCGCCATCTCCACAGCCTTGGGACCGGTCTCTACCGGTGTTCCATTAATACTTGTGGACATCCCGTTACCTTGTGGCCTGGGCACAGGTGTGACAACATCTTTAGATTTGGTAGAGATTATCGCTTCGCCAGTAGCTTCTTGTAGTAGCGCGGCATCACACTTTGCTATCCACTCAGACCATTGCTTAGCGGCTGGGCCTACGCTGCTCTTAAGCTTCTCCCCCCCTTCAAACGCGGTGCGGGCGGTGGTGAACTCCTCCAGATGATACAGTGCGATGCCCTGAGAAAGAGGAGGAAGAGTAGGAGGTTTAAGCTATACTATATCCACACACAGACACAGACACACATACATATAAACTTACAATTATA